CAACCCAGCTCAACTTCAACCCGCGATTAAGTTTTTGTTCCAGGGTTAAGATCAGATTACATTATTTAAACTCTGTTTGAAATAGGGTTTCTCATTAATTCAAAACAAAATTGAATCAAAGTAGGGTTTAGTTTTGTGTTTAGCCCTAATTAATATTAAACCTAAATTCTATTATCTTTTCATTACTCATTGCAATAGGAATCAAAAATCAATAACAATGATTGAGGGGGTGCAGGGCAGATGCTGTAACATTTTTATGTGTGGGTGTCTAATTTTTTTTTTCAAATAATGGGTTAAATTTGGGTCTGGGTTCGAATTTAACCCAATTTTACAAATTCAAGTGGAATTCGCAACTTGAAGCCAATACCCAATATTGCCAAAATTTAATTCGTATTGATTTTTTTTTTTGTCCAAAATTAAAACAACCAAAATATTAAAAAGTTCAACCAAGTACTAAAAATTTGGACTATGGTTAAGTTAAATTCATGTTAGTCAATCTAAGTTACACCCCTAATATCAATATTAAAAATCAACTTCATCTTTACGGTACCAAAACTAAGTAAAAAGGTTCTCTAATCATACCTGGTCGAAAAATAAAAATTCTTTTTCTTCAAACGAATTTGTTGTGTCAAAACAAACTATCCGTGTTTGACTTTAATCCAATTCACCTATCATTCATAATAGTGATCGTCATATTATTTTCGGGTTCATATGAAAAATTAGCAAACATATATCAATGACAAGAGTTTACGCGTTACACGTGCACCAACATTAAGAGGTGTAAGAATAATATTTTAAATGTGCGGGACTCCAAATAATTAAGTGACAAATATAAGGGAATCTAGGTATAATTTATCTATTTAATTTTAGACGGCAAACTAACGGTTATTATTCTAAGTGCGCATTGATACAAATTTTTATGAGGTGTAAATTAAATTTTTTGTTCTTTTAAAGTACAAATTAAAATTCAAATAATCTTTTGGAGTATAATTTGTGATTAACCTCAATTATAACTTCTCTTTTTAAAATTATAATTTTACTATACAAAATAGTGTCATTTTCATTAAAAAAAAAGTGCTGAAATTCTTTGTACCCACATTTTTTTTTTTGATAAGGAAGATTGTAAATTTAATTCAACTTGGGAAATGTTAATTACAATCAGATGAAAATAAGGCCTTAAATTCTAATAGGAGACAGTTGACTCAATTCACAGCAATAGAATCAAACAGTGCAACTGCTGCCACCCAATGAGATGTCCTGTTGGGGGCTCTTTGCTTGTGTAAAAACAGACTTTTCTTACTGCTGCCGGCTATGCATAAAGGCTTGAAACGGCAGATTGTACCCAAATTCAATCTGCCGAAATAAGTGTGGAGGTTAGAGGATCCAATTAGTCTCCATTTCATTGATTTGGGATGACGGGAAACCAAAAGGTTATCATATCTGATCTGTCTTTTCCTAGAACTCTAATGAGGGACAGTTGACACAATTCAGAGCAATAGACAGTGCAACTGTTGCCACCCAATGATCTATTCTGAGAGCACTTGACTTATGCAAAAATTTAAGGGCTAGAGCTTATGTAAAAATTTAAGGTCTAGGTCTAGATGTCTAGCGTAAGTTCTGACGGTTTTTACAAAAACACAAATTTTCTATGGAGGGACTCTTCGGTTGAGTTCAGCTTAAGCTAATGACTTTTTCATTATTACTCTCAATTCAACAGAACTGAAAATTTGATGTACTTGCAAGTACACAAACTTTTCTTGTTGCCGCCGCCTCTGCCGAAATATGTAAAGAGGTCAGAGGATCCGATTTGTCTCCATTTCATTGATTTGGGATGAAAGAAACCAAAAGGTTATCTGATCTGTCTTTCCTTAGACTAATACTCCTATTTAGACCAAATTATTAGTGTCACAATAAACGTGTACCACACCACCGACATTCTCCATTGATTGGTCTCCACTTTTTTGTTTTTTCAATACTACTGTATATGNTCTCTCTCTCCCTCTCTTTCGTCCTCTTTCTTCCATTTCGCACTCTGCACAGAGTACACACAGTCACAACTATGATCCCCACTCTCGCTCTCTCTCTCTCTCTCTCTCTCTCTCACACACACATACAGAGGCACAACTACAAAATAGGACCCAATCACCCCTCCCACCGCACAACCGCCGCTGGCCCGCCTACCTTTCTTCTCTATTTCACATATTACACACAGATTGATTTTTTCTTCGGCAACCAATGTTTCCATCAATTTGAAGATTCAAAACTATTTGTATAACATCAATTATCAACAAAATAAACTAGACTAGTTCAATATGACCAGTTTTTTTATTTTTCTTGCTGGATTTGGTCAAATTGAGGGTTTTACCTGGTTTGATTTGAGAATGCAACAAAATGTCTCCGTCTCTACGTGAGTGGTGGTGATTTTTCTCAGTTTCTGTGACTGTTTGTGTTGTGTGTACTGGTATGTGTGAGTATGNATTGAGGGTTTTACCTGGTTTGATTTGAGAATGCAACAAAATGTCTCCGTCTCTACGTGAGTGGTGGTGATTTTTCTCAGTTTCTGTGACTGTTTGTGTTGTGTGTACTGGTATGTGTGAGTATGGACGTGTGTGTGCGCATGTATATGAAACACGCAGAAGACGACACCAACATGAAGAAAGAGACGTGGGGAGACACAAACTTCGATTTTGGCCCCACTTCAGCTAAACTGTCACTTGTTACTTGGTTTCCCTGTAAATTAGAGATTTTCGGTTCATCCATAATGAATTTAATCGTCCATTGAATTATCTGGTCAAATCTAGATTTATAAAACATAATATAATAAATTTGAATTTAGATTTACAATTCGATCGAAAATATAAATTTACTACTAATTTAACGTCTTTTAAATTCGACACGATTTAGAATTAAATTTAAGTCAAAATATAATGCATTGACAATGTCTAATTTGATACTAGATATAAGCAAAGAGGGAGACTGGTGAGGCGGGTTCGTATTAAAAAATATTTTATTCATATTTAATTCGTTTATTAATTTGTATCTAATAAATCGTATTATATCGAAATTCGTGTCGTGTAAGAATCGTGTATATCCGATTTATAAACGAGTCGTATCGTGTATTTCTTTTGATTGATTTCATTCATACTCGATTCGTTTAATAATCGTGTCGTGTCAAGTTCACTCATTTATGAAATAGGTGGTTTAAGGAATGTTCAAACCCTCTAATTTGGTGTCATATTAATGATTCGTGTCATATTTTAACAATCTTAACTACAATGCAAATGTGAGATTGAGATAGTGGATTACATGCAATATTAGAACACACTTTTAATCCAAAGACAAATAATAGATTGGATAGGTAAATTGGGTTCAATATCAATTGGGCTAGCATTACCCTTCTTTCATTTGACCTAGCACTGAATTCAGATTTTTGTATTTTGGTCTTTCAAAATTTATTATTGTTTCTTTATTAATTTATTATGATTACTGATTAATGTAAGTAAACAAGAAGTTGACAATGTCAAAGAACAACTCAAGTTAACAAAATTCAAAATAGAAAGAAAATTAATTGTGCATACCCATAAACAACAAAAAAAATTGTTTTCCTAGTTTAACCTTAATTAACTCTTTAAATAAAATTTCATCCTTAGATTCTAAAAACTTGAGAAACTTGGGACTTAATGAATAATTAAGGGCAATAGATTAAACTTTTAAGAGATGAATAATGACAACATTAAAATATACATTTTACATTTCCCTTAATCTATATCTATACCTATATATATCTATATCTATCTATATCTATATCTATCTATACTACAATAAAATGTCAGCAATTCTATAAAACTTTTACTTTCTTTTTTACTGTTCAACAATGCAATTAGGACATTTTTACATTTCAACATAATTGACTTATTAAACTTAAATAACGATCTAAACCTTTCAATGCCTCCTCCCCTTCCCCCTTCCCCCATGCTCCATTTTAGCTTCTTTGATAACTGTTACTATACTAGAGTTTCCTTCCGTTTTCCCCGTTTCTTTGCACTTCTGAATTGGTTATATCCTCTATTTTAGATATCTTTTTGAGGCAACATGCAACGAAATAGTATACTATGTATATGTTCAGGGTTGTTCATCAATCTTTCCTTCACTATGACCCGAGTTATTTTGGTGGATGATGGTATTCTTGACTGTCAAGGATTCCATTCGAGTTTCAGAATCACACCCAAGGTGGTTTATCTTCCAACATTGGTATTATTTTTTTTATATATATTTTTCTGGTAAACATTTTTTTCTCATTGTTTGATCTCATTTCTNTTTTTTATATATATTTTTCTGGTAAACATTTTTTCTCATTGTTTGATCTCATTTCTGACTATTTTCTTCACTATCAGATTATCAAGCCAATTTTGGATTTTGTAACTTGCAACCAATTTCACTTCGNTTTGATCTCATTTCTGACTATTTTCTTCACTTTCAGATTATCAAGCCAATTTTGGATTTTGTAACTTGCAACCAATTTCACCTTGACGTTGTTGCCCCTCTTATGTGTGTGAGAGACATTCAAACCATTAGATGTATACTTTTATTACTTCCTGTTTTTACATCGTTTTTTGTTTGTCTTAGCAATGATTCACCATGCTTCAACATTCAAGGATTAAAACATCAAACCAAGGCCAAAATCAGGGAAAAGAAGGGTAGAGTCATCGATAAATATCAAGTAAACATTTGATCTTATTTTTGTTTCATTTTTGAGATTGAATACTTGAAATAGCATAATGTAGAAATTTGAGCTAACACCACAATTACATACATATTTGGCGTAGAACCTACAGATGGTGTAAAAGTAGCGGCTCTTATACCTCATAACTTTTTGATTTGGCATGCCTTACAAGCACAGAAAGATCGAGTGATCAAGGGAGATTTCCTTGATTCACATCGAGGGAGCCATCCAAAAAATTTTCATTGTCTTATTCATCTCAATTTCATCCTAGTCATTGCTATGCAACGGGATTATTTATCAGTTGGTGCAATCTTTCACTTATTCTTGATGTAGCTATGCCAATTCTCGAAGATAAAGCCTGCAAAAATCAATCCAGAGATATAAGTATTAATCATGACTCAATTTGGAACATCAAGTTGCAAGTATATCCTATGAAAATAATCGAATGAAAGACGTAAGTTAAAGCTTAAGTTGTTAAAGAGTGTGTAACTTAAGTATTAATAATTTAACACGCTTCAGGTTAAATTTTAGACCTAGCATATGAAAATATTTTTAATCATTAAGGCAGCGACGAGATTCGAAAACACGACCTTTAACTTTGATATCATGTTAAACAACCATTTATTCCAAAAAGGAGAAGATGTAATATAAATATTTATACTTCAACACGCCCCTTCATATGAAGATTACATTTTTGCTTACATCCACGGACCTAACTACTACATCGGTGTATTATTGAAGGTACTTGAGCACATTAGAGCTCAACCCTAGTATGAGAATTACATATGATAGAAGATAAGTATAACATATATCTATCATCCTCTACATTAATCCAAACAACTTAGATAGTGATGGTCTTTTTGGATCCTATCGTATGTCTATCTAAATATTGATGGATTTTTTCTGATCTTATTGTATCTCTGACACTTGTATATATTGATGTTTGTATCTATGTTTGCTATGTGTAGGGGTGGCCTTGGCTGGATTTAGCAGGCGTTTGATATATTTTGGAGTCATAAAAAGCATATGGTCTGCTGTAAAGTTCAAAGCATTGTAACTCATAGATGAAGCTATTGTGGTTTGAAACTGTGATTTGTGGTTTGAATGAGTATATTCATTCCTATTTTTGTATTTCTTCTTTAAAAAGGGTACAACATGTGAGAGCTACTTATAATGGAGATGTCCATCATAATATTAAGTTGGTCTACACATGTTTAACTATGTGATTTGGTGTGCTGGTGCTGGTACTATCTCTCTCGATCGTGTCATTTTTTTATAACCACTTGATGGCTATTTACATTTATAGTGATAACTGCTACTGAAAAAATCACATTCACGTTTTTCAACTATATAGAATATATATATATGTATAGTTAAAATAAAGATAAAACCTGAGAATAAATTGTGTAGAAGACCCTGACACCCACAGTTGAAGAGCTAGCACTGACAACTTCAGCACCTTCTTGCTGAAGAACACTGAAAACTTGATGCAAAGTGAAGCTCTTACTTAAGCCAGTTATCAAATTCACCTCCAAAATAGAACCCATCTCTCTTATGGCAAGCACTGGTGACACCAACCCAATCATCTGATCTTTAATTCCAGCTCCATCAGCTTGGAGTTGTTCCTTCTTTTGCCTCAGTTCTTCCAGGTGATCCTTCAGTTGCTTCACGTAAATAGTAGCTTGATCCAACAACGCAGGAAATGACAGTCTCTCCTGAAATTCTTAGAGAGATGCATACAAATAAATATTTATATATACACACACGACACACAGAGATAGAGATCATAGAGAGAGAGGTACGTACCCTAGAGGGTTGGGTAGGAATGAGAGAG